AAAGTTGCATCATTTCTATATTGTGTGTTGAAATATGGTTCATCAGACCAAAGTTGCATCATTTTGGTATTGTGTGTTGAAATATGGTTCATTAGACCAAAGTTGCATCATTTTGGTATTGTGTGTTGAAATATGGCTCATCAGACCAAAGTTACATCATTTTGGTATAGTGTGTTGAAATATGGTTCATCAGACCAAAGTTGCAGCATTTCCATATTGTGTATTGAAATATGGTTCATCAGACCAAAGTTGTATCATTTCCATACTGTGTATTGACTGATGGTTCATCAGACCAAAGTTGCATCATTTCCATATTGTGTATTGACTGATGGTTCATCAGACCAAAGTTGTATCATTTCCATATTGTGTATTGAAATATGGTTCATCAGACCAAAGTTGCATCATTTTCCATACTGTGTATTGACTGATGGTTCATCAGACCAAAGTTGTATCATTTCCATACTGTGTATTGACTGATGGTTCATCAGACCAAAGTTGCATCATTTCCATATTGTGTATTGAAATATGGTTCATCAGACCAAAGTACCATCATTTTCCATATTGTGTATTGAAATATGGTTCATCAGACTAAAGTTGCATCATTTCCATATTGTGTATTGAAATATGGTTCATCAGACCAAAGTTGTATCATTTCCATATTGTGTATTGAAATATGGTTCATCAGACTAAAGTTACATCATTTCCATATTGTGTATTGAAATATGGTTCATCAGACCAAAGTTGCATCATTTCCATATTGTATATTGAAATATGGTTCATCAGACCAAAGTTGCATCATTTCCATATTGTGTATTGAAATATGGTTCATCAGACCAAAGTTGTATCATTTCCGTATTGTGTGTTGAAATATGGTTCATCAGACCAAAGTTGCATCATTTCCATATTGTGTATTGAAATATGGTTCATCAGACCAAAGTTCCATCATTTCCATATTGTGTATTGAAATATGGTTCATCAGACCAAAGTTCCATCATTTTCCATATTGTGTATGACTTTCAACAATACTGTGATTATTTGTTAGAGTTACAATCTAGCTATGCCTTAGTTTAATGTGAATAAAAGTTCATGCTGTATGTTTTTTGTATGCATACAAATATAATGATTTAGTTCTAGAACATATTTGTAAAGGTTTTTTTTTTCTAATAAAAACGTAATGTAAGAAGAAGAAGGGCTTAATATGCCAAAAAGACAGTAGAAGCCTTTTTGAAGTTATCCAGTTTTTTCATATACCTCTCTTCACATCTTCCAACAGAGAAATACTTTGAAGATGAACATTTATTGAAGGATGCATGGGGTGAATGGCAGAAAGAGGTTCTTATCGTAGGACATTCAAATTATGTATCTTCTGTGACTAATGCTGAGAAGGTAGGACATCAGAAGATCCATGTTCCTCAGACAGAAAAGAAACGCTATCCCCAGAGAAAATGTAGAGTGTGTTCATTTCGTGGAAAAAGAAGAGACACTCGTGTAATGTGTAAAACTTGTGATGTTGGTCTTTGTGATGGGGAATGTTTTGAATACTATCACACATGGCATCAAAGTAAAGATGTCCAGCAAACAAGCTGTATGTGAGGTTTAATGAAGACAACAATAAATGATGACTCTTGGTAATACCTCATATTTTTGTAAATAAAAAAAAGTAACTTTTTGTACTTAACAAATTGTTCTGTTGTGTAACTTAACAAATATTGATATTAGTATCTTACATATCTGCCGATTGTTTTGAGACACGAGCTTTTCCTTCCTCTTCGATTAAAAAAAGCATTTTAATCGTGCTTTAGGAATCTATGATGACAAAACTTCCACAGTTAGTTCAGCCATTTCTATCTTTCCTTATATTTTCATAAGTCAGATTGTTTTATCAACTAATTTGTGTGATGTTGTTGTTAAAAATGTTTTCCGAATATTTCTGAAGTTAATTAAATCAGACCATATAAGTGTATAAAACATTCTGATGATTCAACTTTCCTCTAGACACGTTCCAAGCCAGTCAAGACGTGTTAGATTCTTGGAAGAGTACAACTCCACATTGGGAAGACATCAGTGAAAACAAGAAGGGAGAGAATGGTGCTTTATCTGATCATCTTCCCGTGTCTATTCCTCCAACCATGAAGAAGTTGTATCCAACACGGAGATGCCGTATCTGTAGTTGTAGAGGAAAGAGAAGAGATACACGAACAATGTGTAGAAAATGTCAAGTTGCACTCTGTCTTGTCGATTGTTTTGCTTATTTTCACATGGAGAAATCGAACACTTCTTAGAACCAGCTCATATTATCTTCTTCAATGTGATATTATATGTAATGTTACTGTTGTTGGGTTTTAAACATCTCAATGTAATATCCTTTATTAGAAGGAACTATATAAAGTTGTAATAATATCATATCTTAGTTAAACATACTGATTAAAAACCTTATTAATAAAACATCAATATTGCTTTATCTGCATAGTGATAGTAATTCATACCTCAATTTTGTTGTATGACAATAACACTATACCAAAGACATGTGAATTTAAACTGTATCATTATAGGTTTTTCAGAACATTGAAAATTATAATAACCATGTTGAGGTTACATATAAATTCCTTTACATAAAAGTAGTAAAGAAATAAAAAACATTTCCGATAGATAAAACAGTAAAAATGAAAGTAAACGCATCATATGAATGTGGTATTAGAACAGCCAAAACCAAAAAAAAAATGGTTGTTATACATTGTAGTTGGTGATATTTCTGAAGGATGTGGGAATTATAATGATATGCGTGGTATAAGACAACAAAAAAAATTTTGGTTCTTTTGACTTATTAGTTTCCAATTTAACCTTTTTATGTTCTGTATCTACGTTTACCATAGGATAATTGTGTGATCTTCGTAATTTTATTTCATATTTGAAATTTTTTTTATTTATATATATTTGAATTCTTAAAACGATATTTTCTTAACAATTCCATAGTATAAAATTAGTTAAAATTTTGTTTATTTTAAATGTTGAATTTATGTATTGGACCACAATATAAATGATGGAGATGATACGGCTTACCAAAAGCAAAGAAATGTATATAAAAACAAGATACATTTACAACTAAAATTTTCAAAGTAATTTGAGGATTTTTCTAGTCTTACTCCTTGTAAAAAAAAAAAAGGTATATATTTGCATTAATTTATATGACATACTGAATAAGCGAATGTATTATGATTTCAAGATGTTGTGTAATAGCCTGGAATTTAGAATAATAAAGGTTTTAAATATAGTACATTTCAAATTTGACATTGTATACTTTCAGCATGATATTGTAAGTGTTCTTAATGAAATTCGTAAACTGTTTTATTTTTTTCCAGGCTTTCTGCTACAACAAGGTTTTGGTTCACTTGACATACCACGCTACTTGCGCCCTCAGTTATCGTCTAGTAACGTTACGTGCAAAGTTTGTCACAAGAACTTCCACAACCAAAGCAACCTTAGGAGACACATGCGAAAACACTCGCCATACCAGATGGTCTTTCAGTGTGATGTGTGTTTACGAACATACACGAGAAAAGACACACTCAAAGCTCATAGAAAGCTTGTCCATGGTAATGTTCAAGATTCTATAGACGATTCAATAATGACAGTAGAACATGAACGAGAGTCTGAATGAAGGAGAAACATTTATGAATTCTGTAATAGGATCAGTGTCAGTATGGCTTAAAATCAGGTTTAACAATCTATCAAGAAAGTTTGAATATTCGGTTCTGTTGCAAATGCTGATTTTAAGAAACGTGTTTTGTAAAACATAGTGAGGAACTGATTCCATTGTTTGTTTCAGGATTTTCTGCATGGGTTGATTTTAAGGACCTTATAGACACATTCTCCTCCTTAAAAAAATGTACACAAGTTTGTTTCAAATAACAACATATTCACTCATGTGAATCAAAGATTTTTTTTTGGCTCTGCAATCAAACTGTTATAAAAAATAACAATTCTGATCATGAACAGGTTTACTGGAAACACTTTGGTTAACTCTAGATGTGTTGTTAGAAGTCTTTTCTACATAATCATTCAAAACTTAAAATTATCTTAATAACCACCAAACTGTTTTTAGCAAGTTACCCTATCCTTCATATGTGTAGGTATTGTTTAAAAATACGCAATATATATATATATATTTTTATACAAAAGTTGGAGAAATTGTGATATTATAGTGCATGTTTGGTAAACTTAAAACAAGTTGTAAGAATAAATGTACTGATTTAAGTATTTTTTTTGTTTATTTAGAAATTTAATGTTTAAAATTGTTCTTTCCATTGTGATTCAAGAATGATTATTATTTGTAAAAAATATGTTCTTTAGTATTACTTAATTTTGATGTAATGAAACTATCCACTAGTAAATTTATGCTCATAGAATAACAATGCTGTGACAGTGTTTACCAGATTTAAGGTAATAAATGGCTACAGAATATTTAAAAAATACAAATATTTTTATAAACCTACTTTGAAATCTTTTGGAAAAACTGAGAGTTGGATAAGCACTATACAGACCAGTAACATTATTGTGATTAGGCCTAGCTAATGGTTTTTATCAGTATGTAAATAATAAATAAACTTCCATCTTCTCCTTAAGTATACAAAAGTAACACCTTGTATTTGTATAGTTATGGAAATTATAGACAAATTAAACTTAATTTCACATAATGAGAATAAAGACATTATAATACTTTAAGGCACACCCAACAGACTGAAAATGTGAATGTTAATATTTTTAATTACTCTTCCATTACAGTATTGAAAACTTTAATTATTAACTGGACAACTTAAACATTTTCCTGCAAATCAGTTTAGTCATGATATATATATATATACATACTGATTTTTATTTTCAGTAAATTTTTCTCCTACAAAAAGAGGATTTGTTAAACAGCAAGCTGAAATACTTGACTAAGTTTGTTAACAATTTGCGATATTAGGCCTAGATTAGCCTACAAAGGTGACAAGATATAAAAAAGTACTTCTGGTGTATGACAATGAGTCAAGTAAATCTGTTCTTATGCCTTAAATTATATTTATGAATAACTATTACTTCAACAAATGGGGCTCGTATACATTCTTGAAATCCTGGAAAATTAGCTTTAAAAATATCAGTACCGAAGAAATATCCTAAAATTCATTCAGTTTAAATAAAACAATCCCACAAAAAAGAATTAACCAAACTTTGTTAATTCTTTTTATCTATTTATCAAAAAATGTTTATATTTCATGTTAGCCACTGTAAATCTTGTGCCTTGTGAGACCCGAGACTGTTGAAGTTACCATACGCAGGCATGATGAATAGAAATGCCAGGAACATTCGTTCAATTCTGCCTAAGAGTCAAGGAATTTTATTTCATGGAACCCTGAATAAATACATGAAACATCAAATTTTCCCTTGATTGTGAATAGATGAAGTATTCAACTAGTAGCCAAGTAGAAATTTCTTAAACAATTCCCATTTTTTTTATAGAAGCCCCACTATTAAATGAAATCCCAGAAAAACATATAACATTTAAATCTAGTTTGTGGTGTGAAGATAAGCCTATTTAAAAATAAGAATATATACGATCTACCAATATTCCTTTTCAAGAAATGTCATACCCAAAACAGCTGTGGCCTCATGAAAAAAGATATGACACAACCACTCTAGGAGCTTGGGTATCCCAACTCAAGCTTTTACTTCTCAGACATTCTAGGAATTTTGAAACCCTGACCAAAGTCTTATCTTTCTTAGATTTTCACCATAAGATGTTTAAATCCAGTAACTTAACATGAATCTCCTATGTGCACTTGCAGTGCTTGAACTATTATACTGTCGTTTCTTTATTGATGCATGTGATGGGGACAAGATATCTTCTGTACATTCCATTTTGCTCGACTAGTCTAAGATGAAAGGATTACGTATGATGACTTGTAAAGACAACACACATCAGTTCCAGGTTTTTCGTATACTGACAAAACAGTTTGTGATTGTACATATAGCAGCAGTTTCTTGTTCACAAAGTTCAAAATTTCTTATGCATTTAAGTGTATTAAAGTATAATATTTTAATTTATTGTTTTGATACTATATTTACGGATAGCTGTTGGATCCCAAATGTACTGTAAAAGGATTTAGTGGTTTTAAGCAGGGTTGAAATTATTTTGCAGATAAAAGTTAAAGAGTTAACACTGGAAAATAGTGTACGTTTTTATTTATACTGAATGCTGATTTTAAAGGGAAGATTGGTCAGCCTCAAAATGTTACGTACTGCCCCTCTTGTTAATTTGTATTTGTTTTTTAAATAAAGAAGAAATTGGTCATTATTTGTAATTTAACGAGTCCTTTTACTTTTCTCATTCAGTGTGTCATCTTTTGAGAGATCCATAAACTTTGGTTTATCGTAACTTTCTTGATTGCATGCAGAGAGTATAGTACTGCATTTGTCAAACTCATAAGATCACTTATCAGTGTTATTCAGAAGGACTTATGTTGATCATAATGAGAGAGTCTCAGCTCTGAAAACTGACCTACAGGGTGCAGAGAAACATGGTCCATTGCTTGATGTCATCCATTTCTCAGAACTTCAGCAACCGATGCAAAGGATACGTGTAAGTTAGTAAACATGGAACAATAATACATTACAATTTTTGCTTTCTTATTATACTTAATATTCTTTATTAAATTTATTGACACCTTCTTAATAAGACATAGCAGCAGTGAAGAAGAAGTCTTATTTTCTGTACTCCCAAAACTTTTATGTCAAGAAAGAAACACAAGCTCTTTATCTTGTAAAAAATCCAAACCAAAACAGAGAAGAAGTTCTTTCCAAGTTTAAACAGTAAAGAATATCTCTCTTCAGACAAAGCAAAATTTAAATGAATTATCTCAGTCATTAAGCATGTATTTATGTACTGTCCGTTTGTGTACTTTCAAGCAGTCCTTCCGTTGAAAACTCTTTGAACACAAGTTACAAAAATGCAGCTGTACAACCTCTGCATGTTTCACTCGGCGATGTCGAGCAAGACTGCTGGGATCAGTATATGAGGCATCACATTCTCGACATGAGTAGTGTTTCCCTCTGCTTTTATTTTCTCTGATATTAAAATATACAGCATTTTCTATTACAGCTGAATCCATAAAACCTGAAAAAGGTTGAAATAAACTTTAACTATAAACACTCATGAACAATATATATACCAATAAATTTTAGATAAATATTTTAAGATCAGGAAGAACTGAAAACCACAAGACACACAAGTAATTAAGCATTTAATAAAATCAATCACTTTTTTAATATTAAAACCAGTTTAAATTA